TCGCTCCGCGGTCAGACATTCCGTCCCGGACAACGCCAGCGGCACAACTTCCACCCAGCACAGCAATTCCGGGTTTTATGCACCAATAAACTGTCATCGGAGTGGCTTCCACTTTTATGCTCTTCTTGTTATGTTTTTTCTTGGAGATTCCAAAGGGCGTAATTAGACGGTGGCAGCAAAGATATCACCGTTTCAACAAGATTCACTACCAAAATCGCACATTTGTTCACAACAAATCCATGAGTACAGACAGTGGCCGATCTTCAGAAATGTTCACCGCGATTCAGAAAACTATTTCGGAGGGGATGGAATTGTAGTATTTATGCCGGGTTTAGGATGCGCTTCTTCAAAGTCGTCGGCGAAAATGACTGCTTAAGTGGCAAGATTAATTAATATGGGTTTTAAAGGTCCCCATAAATTTAAATACATACTTTTTAGAAACCATGTACAAACTTTCTTTTTCCTGTGCTCAGTTGGTGTCAAATTCCTTCTCCTTCATCTTTGGGCCGGCCATACATAACAAATAATTGGCCATAGTAGTCGCAAAACCACCCAGTTTACATCGTCTTCTTCCCTCAGGATTGCTGCTGAGAGCGCTCAGCCAATAAGATTTCTTGAGGTGCAAAGTGTTGATCATTATCAATCATCAAAAGTTATTTTAAAAAATCAACGGAGGGATTTAAGACACAATCTTTTAAAAATGTTATATCCCAGGGTAATAATAAACTTTGCTCAAGCATTCAGAGTAAGTAGGTGAATCACGTGTACTTTGTGAAAGTTTGCATCGAACTATATATGGTTCCTATACATGGCATTATGCTTACCTTTTCAGCACTCTGAGTCCGATCCGGTAACTTTTCCTTTTTGCTGAGAAGCGGTTTCAACTCGATCGCAAGATCTTCAGATATCTTTTTGGGAATAAGTGGTTTGTCGAGAACTAGTTCAATCACAATGAAGGTACGACAGGGCCCAAATTCAGCGCCGGGGATAATAGAAGAGGGACGGTTTTCCGAGAGTTGCAGATGCGCACGTGATATAGAGCCCAGCTGAGTCTTCAGGAAAGAATCCCTTGAAGTGAAGGACTCACCCGGTGGTTGGAGAGTCTAAATACAAGAGATTCACAGTAAATGCTTAGGTTTTTGAAGAAGTTTAAATATTTATTGCGTCAAAGATGACAGCCTATCTGCGTAGCTGAAAGTCTGTTCAGCTCCAAAAATGATCTTTACACCAGGGTAGAAATCAAACATGTTTTTCAATTAAAGAAGATACGTTTAGCCGTCAAAAAAAGCAAAAGCCTCCAGTATTAACTTGCTGTCATTCGGAAGAGCGGAGCCGGTTACATAATTCTGGTTCGTATGAAAGCTGATTATAGTGTTTTTGCAGAAGTAACACTTCCAAACAGAAGCAGATTTAACGTGCAAAAACCCGTCAAAAACAAAACTGCGCATCTGACCGAAGGCGTATGTTCTCTAGCTTACCAAAGGGCATTTGTTGGATATTACTTGAGCATTGGCAACTCCCCTCCCGTATGTCGAATCTAGGGTACAGTTATTTGTAGTCACGCCAAGTGACGCAGTTTTGGATAGAAGAAACCCCTTCTCAAGTTCTGCCAAGTAAGCATGACAACCGGGAGACTAACCTCTAAGTTTGGCAAACAATTGTTTTCAGTCATTCATCATCAAGCCGGTGCAGCGACATGAAGAATAAAAATGGTCAGTTACTTGCAGCGTTTATATGATCGACAGATTGGGGGAGGCGGGGAGGAAGGGGTTCGTGGGTGTAAATAAGCATCTGGGTTTCTCCCGTCTCTAAATGCGGGCGCCAGCGCGTATAGGACGTTGGTTGTGATGCACAGAGAAAAGGGGGGGGGATGTTCTCACGGTCGGAGGGTTGAAATCTGTATGTCAGCCGCGCAGCATGCGCTTGACTATTCTGTGTAGCTTCTTTTTGTGTGTTTTCGGACGACGTGGCTTAAAAGGTATGGCATTTCCGCGTGCAGTTAGCCAAAGGAGGCAGATTGTGTGTACCGGCGCCTTTTGACAGCGTAGAATGGGTTTTGCTAACCGGATTGCCACTGCCTCTGCTGTGGTTAAGATCCGTTTGCGCAGGCCTTTGCAGTAGTGTCAGGCCTTTGCAGACGTCAACCGTCTCACCGTGAGAACATCCCCCCGTTTTCTCTGTGCATCACAACCAACGTCCTACACGCGCTGGCGCCCGCATTCAGGAGACGAAGGAAAAACCAGATGCTTAATTACACCAAACAACCCCTTCCTCCCCGCCTCCTCCCCAACCTGACGATCATATAAACGCTGCAATTAACTGACCATTTTTATTCTCCATGTCACTGTACCGACCTGATAGTGAATGACTGAAAAAAGTTGATTGCCAGTATGACTTTTTAACCGGAAGACGGAGTGGACTTACCTACGCTGACTTACCTTGCGACGGCAGCGCGTGGTTTATCACGTCATAGGGATTGATACTGTACGTAAATCCATCCCGTCTCCTACCCCCATCTCTGGTATGACCGGCCGCTGTCCCGCGCGTTGCAGTCTTACTCACCCTTGACAAATTTTCACTGCAGTCAGAGCTGGGTTGCTTAGATAACCCCCACCTTTTCCACCTCCCCGCATACCAGGCTAACAGCTCATGCTCTATTCACCTTTCATACTCCATCCTTCTAGGTCGATGTTTAGTTTAACGAGCATTTGGTCAGAACGTTAGACTTCTAGCTAACAGGTCACGCGTTCAAGGCCTGCGTCCCCAAAGCGCGATATGTCTGGCTGATGACGTCTAAGAAACCAGACCTGACCCTTCCAGTTACCCTTGTTTTTGCCGGAAATGCCATTGTGCCTTTAGCATTGCCCACTGTGCGGCAGCTGGCACGGCTCAAGAGTGAGCTTCAAGGCACAATTTAACGGAGTGAGTTCTGCGATGGATAGGTTCGAGCCCACCTACCACAGTTAACCTTGTCTTATTAATAAGCATAGAGCTGCAAAATCCTGAGCCGTCAATAATCTCGGTGAACTTATACAAGGAACATCTTAAGACAAATACAGTTTACGTACCTGTAACTACGCGTCTTCGCGGCACAGAAATTTTGCGAAAGGTATTCGCAATAACTGAAAGTTTTCAAATGATGCTTCAGATGTAAAGTTAACGGCTACGGGACTGTTATAGAAGTAATCGTCCAGTGGGATGATAACGGAGCGAGTCCAGGAGAAAAGTGTCAGTTTATGATTCCTTGCTGCTAACGTTCTCATGGGTGGATGCAATGTAATATGTACATTGGCTGTGTCTTACTGTTATGTTGAGTAAAAAATGTGGCCTATAAGAAGTAGTCGCGGGGCTGCAATTCAAGATGCAATTAAACTAACTACGCCTACTGAAATATAGTTAGTAGGTATTTAAGTGTAGTTTAAGAACAAAGACTGCGAGCAATATTAGTTTCTACCTTCAAAATCTGTATTAGTACCTTTTTAGCGCCCAGCTGTCGTGCTGTTGGGGCCACGGATG